TGTCCCATCCACCTAAAGGAGCACAGGACATGTTCCATTTCATTTCTAAGTTGACTTCCAAATTCCAAGTCTGTGGTTTAGCAGCTGTGGAAATTTGGGTTATTAGTATTTCCGAGTCCATGTTTCCTCTTCAGAAAAAAGTGAGCCCCACATGAAATATCCTACCTGATATTTCATACCTGAATGAGACAACTCACATATATAAAGTGTGGAAGTGGGAAATCCTCATCCCACCTCTCTAGGTAGAGGGAGGGAGGGAGGGAGGGAGGGGGAGAGAGAGAGAGAGAGAGAGAGAGAGAGAGAGAGAGAGAGAGAGAGAGAGAGCACACTGGCAGGACAAAACTCAGAGATTTGTTCGCTCATCATAGTTGAATTGTAAACATAGAGAAAGATAATTATAGCACGGTAGACCAGGACTGTGGAAGCAAAATACACTGGCTAGTTCTCCAAGGAATGGAAGCCCACATGGAGACAAGGAAGAAGTCACATGGGAGTAATGTTTACAAACCCTGTCACCTAGTGAGTGGGTTGGGTGAGTGAGTACCACACAAGGACCAGGGCTTGACTGGGCACCACAGGGGTCAGCAGAGAGGTGTTTCCACAGAGCTCCTATGGAGCTAATGAATTTGCTAATTTTTGACCATCTGGCTTCACTTTTTCTGTTTAAGAAAATAATTTTTCTTAAACAGCGGAAAAAATCCATTTTTTAATTTGGACAATGGAAAATTGCAAGTAGAAATAAAATTGGTTTTAAAAACTACTTAAAATCAAATTAATATTCCTTTACTATGCATGTTCAATACACAAGCATTCTTGATTTGCATATATCATTACTACTATGCTGCCACTGGAGAATATTAAATAGAAATATAATTTACTCAGCAGAATAGGTGCCTGCTTGGCAAGCACAGGGTCCTGAGTTCAATCCCTGGTACAGCAACAAAGAAAAAAAAAAAAAAGAAAGAAACAAACTTAATTTAGACAAACACCTAGAGTGGACCTAGTGTTTCCAGAAACTCCTGGTTAGGGTAGAGATGAAGCAGGAGGAGAACACAGCCTGAGTTTCCTGATACCAGCTATAACCTGTTTTGCCTCACTAGCGGACACAAGCAGGACAGAAGAATTTTAATCCTGCACATGCAACACTGGAATGAAGTGTTACAAGACTTGGTAACTGTGCTGATGTCTGTGTCTTTTACCCAGAGATTATAATTTAATTAACTGACTCATAATGAATTCAATCCATCAGTTCATCTGGGGTTTTGGAATTTTTTACCCCCCCCCCCAGGTAAGCTTTCAGACACTACTGTGCTAGGGGCTAACATACTATAGTAAGAAAATGAAATATTCTATGCCTATCATAATTTTCCTACGTACATTTGAAAATTAAGTTTTTCTTAATGATTTTTTAGGTTTATTAAATTTATTTTGCTGTATGTTGAGAAAGGGTCTCTCTGTGTAGCTCAAGCTGGCCTTGAACTCACTGTGTAGGGCAAGCTGCCCTTAAACTTATGGCAGTCCTCCTTCTCAGCCTTGTGAATGCTGGAATTATAAGCATGTGCCACCACGCCCAACTAAATTTAGTATTTTAAAAAATGATTTGAAATACTGGGGCCTCACACACTTGTGAGAAATAATAAAAAACAAATACTTTCTATCCAGTTCCCCTTGTTGTAATATCTTGCAATGTCACAACCAGTTTATGGCAGGGGACATGTTCAACATACACATTCCTATGAGCACAAAACTCCTCCTCTTACCCCTCAGTAACCACACTGCTTCCCACTCCAATTCGTGATCTGTAAGCCCTGCCAATCACCAATCTTTCCTCCATTCTAGTGCTCTTTTCACTTCAAAAAATGCAATATACATGTGATTTCCTTCATCTTACCTTATGGTCTCAAACTTAAATATTTCATGGTTTCTCCTATCTGAGAAATTCAATGTATAAAATGCAAAATAAAAGAGACAATAGGTAATAGAGAGATGAAACTTTGGGATATGAGAAGGAACTGAGAGACAAAGTAGGCAGAGGGAAGGGAGTAAATGAGATTAAAAAGGGGGGAACAGTAAAGTACTGTGTGTATGTACCAAGTCTCTACGAGGAATGTGGTAAGTACCACACATTATAGATAGATAGATAGATAGATAGATAGATAGATAGATAGATACCCAAGAGATGCTAGAGGAGGGAATTAAAAAGAAAGAAGATGTGTTGTACACAAGTACTAACTTCCCATGAAGAATGTAATCATTATGTACTTAAAAAATGTACCAATAAAAAAGAACTTTATAACGCATTAGCTCTGTCTTTGTGAAGTAAGTGAATTTTGGAATTGAGACAACTCATGGTACTGAAGAACTATAAGAGTAAATACTCTAAATCTTGTAATAAATTTAGTAATTGTATGAATAATACAATAATGAGACTTTATTTTTTTAAAAGTAAGTTGTATATGGTGAGATTTTTGGACTTATGTGTAAACATAAGAAGTATATATTTCTTTATGCCTATTTTAAAAATATATTCTAATTTTTAAATCATATTCTGTAGAGACTTAAAATTCAACATATCAATACCTGATGAAAAATACCTGTTCCATATTATGCCTAAGATGTTTGATATGCAGACAGATAGTGAGGTTAAGCTCAACAGCCTAAGTTGTATGGTAATAACAATAAGCTTGTCTTCTGGATGGTTAACAACCTAAGTTTGCAGACCAAAATTAGACAAAAAGGAGGGCTGCAAGGAAAGCCAACATTTTGGCCCTAGCCTTCCAAGGTCAATTAAGACTAAGGACACATGAGAACTTGTACTGTAACGTCATGTAACTCAATAGTGTCCCAAATTTTCTGATCAAAGAGATTATGGGGCCAAAGAGGAAAGTGATTGATGATGTAGAGTGTGCCTAAGGAGAGTCACATGGAGAGAAAACATTCTCTCGGGCTTTCACAGAGAGCACATTGGCCAAGCAATGGCCGTGACTGACAAAGGTTGACACTGACAAAAGGTTCTACAATCTGAGGTACAGGATCTCAGGATAAATCCTGAGGGGATTTCACTGACCTTATCAGACCCAAAAGCTACAACTCTTGTTGCATAGGTCCTGCTTTACCTTGGTCTTAACCATCCAGCAGAAACGTATAAAAGTGAAATATAAGAAATAAAGCCATGCTGTTATGTTGAGCTGTAGGGGACTCAGGTCAACAATTTCTGTCATTACCAGTTAAACAGAAGACCCAATGTTATTATGGGCTACTGGACTCTTTTAGAATATTTTGCTGAGTTTACACACCTATAATATTCAAATAACGGAACTTAACAAAAAAGGGGGGATACAGATGAATGTCCATTTTGTATCTGTGTATTCAAAGTGGTTAGGATAGATATATAGTTACATTCTCTTAATGAATAGAGTGATTTGTTCTAATGGTGTTTGTAAATAGGATATCATGTCTGCATCTTGTACAGCAATTAACCAGAAGGAAGAATGTATGCAATGTGTTAATTATTGAAACTGTCCCACCAATTTGATTTGAAAAAAAAAAAAGTTATATAAATGTAATGCCAAGTTACGTAATCTTTTGGGAATTGATTTTTTTCATTTGACACAATCTTCTTGAGATTCATTATCATGGCTATGTGTAAGCTCTATCCTACTTCAATGATAAGCAATTCTGATACTTTATAACAGAGCAGTTCCAAATCGTCTGAGCCATTCCTTAACACTCTCACTACTTTCATTATCCATTCATCACCTTGTATATCATTATAATGTATTTTTGCTGTTTAGTCTATATAAGTACAATGGTGAATAATTTTAAAGTAATGTATTGAGAAAAGAATATTAACTTTTCTGAATATCTTTAACCTCCTAGGGACAAGCTTTCGATGCAATTTAAAGAGATTCTGCATATTAATTTCATGATAAGCTTCTCAAAATCACTTTCTTCTATTTCTTCCTCCTTTTGCAGTGGGCTGAAATGATATTAATGAATATAGGGATCTGAAAGAATGAGTTGCAATTGAATTGTAATAAAAATAAAGTAGAAGGTGGAATGAGTTCCAGATCTTAATTCAGAGCCCAAGGATAACTTCTAAATCTGGAAAGCAGCACCAAGTGCCCATGCACATTTGAAAAACTGAGTTGATCTAGTTTCATGTTCCTCATCCTCTAATTTCATGATGGCTGCAACTTGTTCTTTTCACCCATTTCTCTTTGTATGATAGACACACCTGCTTCTATTTGCTTTTTCTGTAATATGCACCCAGTTCCACTCCCAGTAGCGTGTCTTGTCTTCACACACGGTTCTGTAGAACTCAGGCCACATGTATGTTTGTCACCTAATCCTGGCCAGTGCTAAAGTGATGATGCTGGACATCTGCATGACTGAGAGTTGGGGGTAACCTGGGGCACTTTGTTTCTGAGCATAATATTCACCTCAGGTGTAGAAACTTATTGGTGCTATTTATTTTTTTTAGCATTCAGGTAAGTAGCCAGGCTAAGCAATGCAGGAAAAGTACGTATTTCAAAAAAAATCTATTGAGTCTTAACAGGGAATCTTGTACCATAACTTTCCAGATGTTTAACTTACAGTGAGTGTGATGACACATACAGGTGTGTCTGTATGATATTACACTTTTCAGTCAGCATTTATCATCTCAAAGAGATTCATCTTTATGCACAAATTATTGTGGTTTTTGTTTTGATGTTATTTTTGAATATTATTTTCATGGAAAGTATGTAATATCACGTACAAAGAAGCTAAGAATTAATTTTCCCTAGTGAAAGGAAAATGGATGGGAATCATTCAAACAGTTATTTAAATGGTAGGAAACATAGTCTTTGTTGTAGAGGTAACTTCTGAAGTGTATTCACACACACACACACACACACACACACACACACACACACACACACACCCTGAGAGTACAGGGAACTGTATTGGCTTGGTTCTGGGGCAAAATACATGTCATCTTTCTCATACTTGTCTTTCAGATGGAACTCCACTGAGCTGGTGGGTTGCAAGAACCAATGAAACACACTCGTACTGGAGAGGCTCTCTGCCTGGCGCTCACAAGTGTACTTGTGTGTCAGAGGGGAACTGCACTGATTCCCAGTATCACGGCAACTGCGATGCTGACTGGAATGAATGGTAACTTCCCTGAGCACAAATGTAGCCTTTGATTCCTTAATCATGCATAGTGAAACATCAAATAAGTTGGTATAAAAACACAAAATATATTCAAGCAAGTTAGAAATGTAAGTTTGGATAAAATACATTCAACGAATCTGAGAATTAAATTTCATAACCAAAGATTTACAACTTTACTGTGAGTACCATATAATGTGCATTTTATTTTTCTTAAATTGGGAACTTGGCAAGTGTCCCACTCCTAGAAATGAAGTACCCATCTCCGAAGTTGTGTTTAAATAATCATTCTTGTACTCATACAGTGCAATGTGCTCCTAGAAGCAACTTAAAAACTATATTCCTTCAAATCTTTTTCTTGAGTAGATGTGGGATAGCATACTATGTATTGTTTTCTTTGAGTTTACCAATAGAGGGGCTGGGTGATGGCTCAGTAGAATAAATGCTTCCCTGGCAAGTGCAAGGGCCTGAGTTCAATCCCCGGTTAAGAAAAGAGTTTACCAATAAACATCAGCACACTGGAACTGTGAGATGGCCTGCTGAGAGGACTGTTTATTCTGTGGAACCCACACTCATTGAAGTCTTATTTTATAACACTTTATGGTTGGTTTCCTATTGCCTTGGGGAATGTCACTTTTAGGATATAAAATCAGTACTGAATGGCTTCCCATCTGCAGAAGGAGGAGACAGGGAAGCTGAGAGCTCTTGGTGCTCTGGCCCTCTTTCCCGTGTGTACTCTTTTCTCTAAAGCAGCATGCTGTCCTTGCATGACACATACTTGTCCTTTTGTTTGGTGGAAAACTTAGATGAAGTATTGTAGTCACATCCTAATTTGAGGGAATTATATGGTTTTTAAACATGTTTACTTTGAAGTGGCCAATAAACAGATCTGAGCCAACACCAAGAATACAACTGCTCTTAACGTTGCTTCAACTGTTGCAGAATATTTCATAAATGAGGATGTGCATGAAACAGGTGGCAGAGAATTTTAATTTCTCTTGCTTTTTCAAAGGAAATTAATTTTAGTCAGTTTTTAAAGATTGAATTTATGTGCATCTCATGAAGACTTTTTTACACTGTAAAACACAAAATCTATAACTATATAGTATTAATTAAGATATAGAACTATTACAGGGCCTGCCTGTGAGATAGCTCAGAGGACTAAGCGCCTGCTTAAGCATGCTCAAGGACCTGGGTTCAATCTCTGGTATGCAGCCCCAGAATCCTGGGTGTGGTGGAACATGCCTATAATCCCATCCCTGGGGAGGCTGAGACAAGAGGATCATCACTATAAGTTCAATTGTCAAGGATAATGTGACTCAGTATCTTAAAGCAACACTTCTCAGTCAAGCACAGTTTTAAGTCAGAGAAGCTATTTAAAATTATTTGAAGATAATTTTGTCTCAAAGGGAGGGAGTTGTTTTTGCTGGTATCTTATAAATCAGAATTGCTGCTAAACACCCTAGAATATGCAAGACAGTGCCATAACACAAAAGTATACATCCCAAAATATTCATAGTACTGCTATGAGAATCTTGTATTAAAATGTCTTTCTCCTCAGATTAATGTATAAATTTAATGAAATTTTGAGCTAATGCCAAGTGCTTTACTTGCCAGTGTGGATTATAACAAGGTAGTTTCAAAATTTACATGGAAACTTGGAATGAAAGAATAGGCCAGATGATTTTCTTTTAGGTAAGATTATTGTTGAGATGAAAAATAAGAAGGGACCAGTCCTGTCAGATGTCATGACTGATTATAAGGGCCAGCCAGATAGCTCAGCAGACTAAAGTGCCTGTGTAGGCAAAGCACAGTGGCTGGGGTTCGATCCCCAGCATGCCATGCCAGCCCCGTCCTGGGGGCAGTACTGAGACAGGGGCTGAGACTGGGCGTGGTGATGTGTGCCTGTAATCCCAGAGGCTGAAAACAAGAGAATCACTACAAGTCTGATCTACATAGTGAGACCCTGTAGACCCTGTACATAAAAGACTGATTATAATGCTATAATGATTAATGTGAGTTAAATTGGCCAAGAGATAGGCAGTTAAACCAATTAAATAGAAATTGAAAACCTGGAATTTTTCACATGAATTAGCTGTGTATCATAATGATTGTGTTATTACTGACCTAGTCCCCAAAACAATTATGAAATCTAAGATGTATTTCCCCCTTTATAGCTCTACGGTTCACCAAACCAAATCCCTTGGTAAATAATTAGCAGTAGATTTTAGAACTTTTTATACTGTTTACAAGTTTAGACTATATAGGTTGGATGTTACTTGTCCAAATTGCTTAGGACAAGAAAGGTTTCAAATTTTGGAATTTTTAGAATTTGGAATAGTTGTATATAGCTAATGAAATATCTTAGAAATGGACCCAAGTCTACATTGCCTGAAGTTAATTTTATACAATATTTTTAGTGCAGCTGAATTTTGACTTTAACCATCACAAAAAGTTAATAGCACTATTTCCACCGTGGCCTACTCCCAGCATTTCAAGTTTCAGATTGTGTGCCACTTCCCATATTGGAGTTTCCAATTAAAGATGTGTTAAAAAAAAAAAAAACCGCGGAGGATAACAGGAAAACAAAATGGAAAGATCCCCACTGATTAAGATGCTCTGTTGAAGTCTGCTACCCATGGCAAATCTTCAGCGTTTAGTGTTCCATGTAAATCTGCAGAATTGGGATCTGCTTGTACCAATAAGAAGTCAGTGAAAAATTGTTTTCCAATGTTGCACTCAGATTGACTGCCTTCCTACAAGAGACAGAGAGAGAGGGAGGGAGGGAGAGAGAGAGAGACAGAGAGAGAGAGAGAGAGAGAGAGAGAGAGAGAGAGAGAGAGAGACTGACTGACTGACTTAGTATCTGCTCTAATGCCACTGAGATGTACTAGTGTTGTATTACAGTGCCTTGTACAGAAGTTCACATTTTAAACACAACATCAATAGTGGAAATTGTATCTTTTATGTAAAATGGAACCTTTAAATTAAAATATCCTTCATGAATAACTAATGAAATTGCTTTTCCCTACTAGTCTATAATGATAACAGATATAGAAACAGGTGCTTTTGATGCCTTAAACATGGAGTTTCTCGCCTTTCTCAGACTTATTCCCAGCTCATCTACCCTAAGTCCACTCTAGAAATAAATGGTGCCGACTTTTGGTAATTATGCTCTCTTCTTTTCACAACATAACTAGGCAAGACATGGGGGTTTTAGTCTGAAGTTTAGAAATAATCTTTTTTTAACCATTAACTATTTTACATAATCCAGAATATTTAATACACATTAACTTTATCTCTTTATATACATTACAGGTATTTCCTTCTTATAGAATAGAAATGTTAAATAATGTAGCTGTATTATTTTATTTCTAGCTTTTCAAATTTCAATTTTTGACTCCTAAAACCTTATAAAACTTCAGAAAACATTATTTTTACAAATACAAAAAGATGACTGTAATTAAGTATTAGTCATTTTCATTTTCTGCCACAGTGATACAAGGGAGAGTGTGGAAACTGAGTAATTTAAACAAATAAAAGTACACGTATTCAATTCAGTAAAAATTCTATCAGGATGAGGAAGTAGATTGAGTGATTTGTACACAGCAGAATACATATGCAGCCAAGTCACATGTAGTGAAATACCAGAAAATCACAAAAAGTAGACAAATGTCTATGTTTTGGCCAGAGAAGAAATTAGTGGCCCAGCTAGGACCAGGTTCCCAGGGTACCTCAGCTTCTCCAGACCTCTTTGTAGAGGATCCAAAATACACATTTCTTTTCCCAGTCTCTTTCACATGGAATGATAATGATGAATTTTGTAATGAAGATGAAAACAATTAACTTTTATACTGTCCCATAGGTCATTGCTTCTGAGGGCCAGAGACTGTACTTTTTCCTTAGTGTCTTCCATGCCCAACACAGTATCTGATCAATATATTTTTGTCTACTAAATAACTGGGTTGAGCATTTCACCAAACACTTTCATGCACATTAATCTGTTTATTATTTGAAATTAATCTGCTTATTTTGTTTTGGTATTTGTGGATTTCATAATTTATAAATTATCAAGAAAAGAAATACCCAATGGCCATGAAAGACTAAGAAATTCATGATACAATTATATGAAATGAATATAGAAATAAAGTGTTATAATTCATAATTATAATCAGTAACCATTTAAAAATATCCTGAAACTAATTTTGGAAGAGCAAATAAATACGTCATTATATTGAAAATATTGTGGTCTGCCTATAAAATGATTACCCTTCTTGGTTTTGCCCTTTTGTTCTCTGTGTTCAGTGAGACTGTGGATTGACAGATGAATCAAGTGTTGCTAAACTACTGCTCATGTACCAGATCCACCCACGGGCCTGTTTCTGTATGGGCCATGAGCTAAGAATTCTTTTTACATTTGTAGTAGTTAAAAAATAAAATGAATAATATTTCATGACACATAAAACTTGCATAAAATCCTAATTTTGGTGCCCATAAGTTCCTATTGCAACACAGGCATGCCCCTAGCTAACCCCTGGGGCTGCTCTCACGCTGCCAAGGCTGAGTTGCATAGCTGACGCAGAGGCCGAGTGGCCTGCAAAGCCACCTTGACAGTGTGGCCCTTTATGGAAACATTTTGATGATTCTTGACTTGGATTTTCTTTAATACCCTCTGTGCTCTTCACATACTGAAAATATTTCTAAGTGTTCTCTTATTCCTGTAATATTAGTTTCAAATTGCAATATTAGATCATAGTTCACTATGTCTGAACATTAATTAGATCCATTTTAAGGATGGGATCATTGCTTTTCAGGAACAGTGATACAACTGTCCTTTCCCATAAGGAGCACCTGCCGGTCCCTCAAATTGCGATGACAGACACTAGTCGACCTGATTCCGCAGCTGCTCATATACTGGGGCCTCTGCTCTGCCAGGGGGACAGTAAGTAGTAACAATAAAAAGCTTTCTTGTTATAATAACATGCTTTATTAGAAAAGCATTGTGTTAGCTTTATGTCACTGGCCACCTATCTGAGGTAAACAGCTTCAAAGCAAGAAATGGTTATTTTTGGCTCAGGATTCCAGAGATTTCAGTTCATGATCAGTTGGCTCCATTGCTGTAGACCTGTGGCAAAGCAGAACATCCTGATGGGGAGTTCATGGCAGAGCAGAGCTGTTGACCTCATGGCTTCTAGGAAGCAAGGAGAGAGAGGAGAGATAGGGATCCCGTTGTTCTCTCCAAGAACACATCCTCTAACCTCCGTTCCCTCCACCGGGCCCTACTGCCTAAGATTCTACGATCCTCAAGTAGCGCCAAAGCCTTCAGCCTATGGGCCTCTTGGGATATTGAAGTTCTAAGCTATGACAAGCATGGATGTGGAAGCATTATTTGTGCTAAAAATCAGTATTTTGTTAGTGAAGTACACTTTAAATATCTCTTATGCAAAATGTTTGGGACCAGGAAAGTTTCACGTTTTGAAAAATTTTGGATTTTAGAATATTTGTATAGACACATTGAAATGCCTTGCAGATAGGATCCTAGTCTAAGCATCAAACTCATTCATTATTCTTATATCATTATTTTTGTACATCTTATACATATGGTCTGCAGACAATTTTATATGGAATGTTTCATGTGCCTGTATTTTGATTGTGATCTGTCACATGGGGTCAGGGACTTGTCAAAAGAACTTGAGAAAGTTTGCTAATGTCCACATTTAGGACAGCTGAAGCACTATAATAAGTTATAGTAATCGATTATAAACCATCAAATAGAGAAAAAAAATCTAAGAGTGATACTGATATAAATTTTAAAATAAACAGAAGAATTAAAGGTCAAGGGGAAAGCTCTTCCTTCTTAACAGAATAATATGAACCAATTGAAGTAGAGGAATGATGGATTTTAGAAAGTAAGCATTGGCGACCATCATATTAATAACCCTGGAAGTGTCAGTAAATTCTAAAATCAGTGAATGAAAAAATGCAGTGGGTCATGTTAAGGCCTTTAGGTATCAAAATACTCATAAATTATAAAGAAAAATAGTAACTTCATATGAGAGAAAGGACCATTCCCTCTTTACAAAGCAAAGCTGACATGACAGAGCAGGGTGTGGTAGCACATGCCTATGATCCTATGTAATGGGATGACAAGTTTGTGCTTAGCTTGGGAACTAGGAATTTACCAAGACCCTCTCTCAAAATTTAAAGGAAATATAAAAAAAAGAGGGCTGGGGAGATGGCTCAGTAGAATAAGCACTTGCCTGGGAAGCGCAAGAAGCTGAGTTCAATCCCTGGTTCTGCAAACAAACAAAAAAAGCATCTCAGAAATATAAAAAAGGAAAAGAGCTGGGGGTATGTTCAGTACGAAGGCCCTGGGTTCAATCCCTATTAGTATCTACTATGAAAAAAATAAACAGACAAAATAATAAATGAATCTTGAGGTGACTCATTAACAGGAAAATAGCCCACCTCTGTGGTATTTTTGACAAAAATGTATAACATTAATGTAATGAATACCAGTCAAACACAAGTTGAGGAACACTATTAATCAACTGAAAAATTATTACCAAGAAAAAAAAGATGAAAGAAAAAATTATAGTCTTGACAGAAATGAAAGTTCTAGAATAAAGGACACTGGATAGACCTGAAAAATAACTGACATGAGGTTCTAGATTAGATTTTGGAGCACATGGCAAGAAAAAGGCTTTCAATGTGTTGTGAAGGGCATTTTAGGATAGTGGTCATGTGTTTGTTCTCAGTTTAAGCAGACAATCAAGAGTGTATGATCTGGCTGCCAGAGTCACATGTCCACGTGCTGTCTCCAAATCTCCACTTGGATGTCCAATAGATATTTCAAATGTAACATATCCCAAACTGTCAAACCTGCATCTTCAAAATGATTCCCATGGGAGCTGGGCCCAAATCTTCGGCATCAATTCAGGTGCCACTCTTTCTCTGGCATCCCACACCCCAGACACCACATCCCACATCCCTTTCATCAGTGTATTCTCTTGGCTCTACTTTGAGAAGGACCCTGGATCCAAACCTGTTTCACCGTGTCCATTACCACCACACCAGTTCAAGCCAATATCAGTCTTCCCTGTCTATCAGTGTTGGCGTGACATCTGGACACATGACAGCTTTGTTTCTGAGTCTGTTCAGGGTATAGAGCTCTTCTTTAAAATTTTATTAGTGCATGCTGGCAGTTCATTCAGTTTATAGTCATCTTGGGGAGTGGTTACATGCAACTACTGTAGCTTATTTCTTTTTAAGTGCACATTCCCTTTCCTCTCGGCCCCCCACTCCTCTAGTTCCCCTATCTCATTTTTCATTCTTATTGATATTGCTGACCTTAGCTCATATTATGGCACATAATGTTTACATAAATTGAAGTTGTTAGGTTCCTGGATATAGCATATCTTTATTGTGCTTATTTTTCCTCCCCCTCCTCCTCACTCCTACTTTTTCCCTTGAAATATTTCTGTATTGCAAGAGATCTATCTCCCAGTCCTTCTAGCCATTCTTATTATTGTCTTTGTTTGTACCTTTCCTCACTCAAATCGGAGATACCATACAATATTTATGTGTGTGTCTGGTTTATTTCATTCAACACTATATTTTCCAAGTGTACCCATTTTCCTACAAATGCCTCAAATCTATCATTCTTTATAGCAGACTAGTGTTCCATTACATATAGATACCACATTCTTTATCCAACCATCTGTTGATGGGTATACAGGCAGGCTCCTTCCAGGATTTAGCTATTATTAATTGATCAGCACAAATGTCCAATCCTCCAAATAATCACCCTTCAGATGTTGATGTTATGACTACATGGCATGAATGTTCAGAATGCCAAGTGAAGACTCACAGTTGTTGTCGTGTTTAACGGTAAAATGATTCATGAGAGTTCTCTTTTCCTTCTTAAAAATAGAGTCATTTTGGAACTCAGCCTCCTTCAACACTGAGACTTCATACCTGCATTTCCCTACTTTCCATGGAGAACTCACTGCTGATGTGAGTTTCTTTTTTAAGACCACAGTCTCCTCCGGTGTGTTTATGGAGAACCTGGGGATCACAGACTTTATCAGGATAAAGCTGCACGGTAAGCTGCTCACGCCGGAGGAGTCGCGCTTGCCCACTATTTATTTAGCAATCACAACTTTTAACTGAACGAAACTTTAAAGTACCGCCATTCTGATAATTGTGTTTTCTCATCCAGTATTAAAATTCCATGACTCTGCTTATTTATTTTGAATAAAGTCACACTGTTGGGCATATATCCCACAACGATCCATAAAAATGTTATACATCCTCTTAACTATAACAAACAGAACTTTGAGCCAAATTCACGGATTGTATATTAATAACAAGATATTTGACCAGTCAGCTTTTATTCATGTAACCAACATTTATTACTGTCAAAATTTAGTGTTATCAGAATTAAATGAGGTCATGGACCATTTTAAATAAAAGTACTTACGTATGAAACAAACTATATTTGTTCTGTTCTAGTTATGAATGCATATTCTATTACTGTCCAAATTTACAGTTAGTGTGTTTAGAATTGGATGATGTGGTCAACCATTTTTAAGTAAAAATTTTTATATATAGTTCTATTTGTTCCATTATTGTATGGGTACATATTTTTACTATTTAAGACTGTGGAAGATTGAAATAGGATTTAGCAAGATTGAATAGCAAAGTCCAGATAAATATGTGCAAATCAATCTTGTCTGCTCTGTGTTCTTTATCACGAACATGCCACAAGGTTTTACCATGTCTACTTCAGACTAAACTTTCTTCTATACAAATTAACCGAGGTGGCATTTATCTGTAATGTTCCTAGCTCCCTCAGAAGTGACCCTTTCCTTTGATGTGGGGAACGGACCTTGTGAGGTCTCGGTGCAGTCACCCACTCCCTTTAATGACGGCCGGTGGCACCATGTAAGAGCAGAAAGGAATGTGAAAGGAGCATCTCTCCAGGTGGATCAGCTCCCTCAACAGACACACCCTGCCCCTGCCGACGGGCGCATCCGCTTGCAGCTCAACAGCCAGCTCTTCATTGGTGAGTGCTACAGGTTTATAACTAATGTGGGAATGACTGCAAAGATAGATTTTGGAAAGCCCTACGAAAGTAGTCTACTTACAAGTTACACTTGCAAACAGCGACTCCTACTGGCACTATTTAATTATATCCTAGTCGCTTCCAGGAGCTTCTTACTTGGTACCTTAATTTGTAGGTATTATTGTCCTGGATATAGATAAGCTAATGAGATTCAGAGAGGTAAAGTAACCACCGTTATACCCAGGCTTCAATAGTACATATAATATGTGAATGGTACTTGTCACTACCACGTGTTGTGGACACTAGCAAGACATTAGCAACTATTCTCCATTTCTACAATGTCACTTCTTGGTGGAGTTAGAGAATTTGTCTTCTAATTGAGACTGTGTCTGACCAAAAACAGACCATGGTAGCCATGCTAGCAGAAATGGCACGATCTATCCCTGCGACACTTTGGGGACCACATCCCTGGTTGCCTCAGTCCAGTCTTTCCTTCTCCTGCTCTCTCATCATGTGCTTCTTGGTGATAATTAGGTCTTACACCTTTGCTTTTATAGTCCATTTGTCTAAAGCTTACAGCCATGGGATTGGAAGTCTTTCCTTTACACTGCTCATTCCTTGTTTTAGCATTGTTGCTTATTTTTCCCAAGGGGAAAGATGTATTTTTAAACCACTCCATTGTAATTTAGAAACAAACAGATTAAGGTAATGACTTTCACTTGTCTATGCATTTTTAAGAAAAGAGGTGCAGAGTCCAATTAGAAACTGGACTAAATAAAAAATATCACACAGCCTGCTTTACAGGAGGACATACAGCTTCCAGGTACTAAATATGACACAATGAATTCTATAATGTGTATCGTTTCTCTCTCTGTCTCTCTGTCTCTGTCTCTGTCTCTGTCTCTTTCTCTCTCTCTCTCTCTCTCTCATAATCGAGAGAGAGAGAGAGAGAGAGAGAGAGAGAGAGAGAGAGAGAGAGAGAAATCATGCATGGCATGGAGTATATTATATAATTCCATAAAATATAGTTTCAAGAATGGTTGGTTCTCAGGTTAGGGTAAGATGAAGCCTCCTTAGAGTACTTGAACCATAAAGCTATATGATTGTGTTGATCACCTTTTCCCTGCTGTAACAAATACCTGAGTTAATGACTTGCACGAGAGAAGGTTTCTTATGGCACAAAGGTTTTCACCTTGTGGTCAGGAAGTGAAAGAGGAAGGAACCAGAGTCTCCACTGCTTTAAAAGTGGGTATTCCATTAAGCCCCATTTCTCCTCTTCTTCTTCTTCTTCTTCTTCTTCTTCTTCTTCTTCTTCTTCTTCTTCTTCTTCTTCTTCCTCTTCCTCTTCCT